GGGGGGGAGAAGGAGGGGATGGGGGAAGAAATGACCCAAACATTGTATGCAAATATGAGTAAAAAAAAAAAGAACAATTAGGAAGGAAAAATAAAGAGCTCAGTTTTGGAGGATATGTTTGTGATAGGTATAAGACAGCTATGTAAGCAACAGACATTCTGATAACTCAGTTCTATCTTGCGAACATGTATTTTGCTTTGGTCACAGTAATTGTATACTTTTTTCCCCTAGAAATTACCTTTTATCTACCTTTATAAGCATATTACCTACCAATATGGGCATATAGTTAGTACTTTTTTTGTTGTACTGGGGTTTGAACTCAGGGTTTTGCACCCTATCACTTGAGTCACACCCCAACCCTATAGCTGATACTTTTAATAACATTTAAGAGTTCTCACAAAATAAATCCTTCAGCTTTATATAGTGTATCCTCATCCAAACTGTTAACATTTCAGATAACTCTAGTTTAGATCAACAGAACAATGCTTGAATCTTAGAATAAAAAATACTATTTTGGGTTCAATTCACTTTGCAATTTGACCAACTGTTTTGTTTGTTTTGTCTTTTTCTTCCTAGGCCTGCTTTCAGATTGAGACTAGGAAGAAAAACAACCCCACTAGGCTGGATGATATACTTTGCAATTTACCATGAAAAGCTCAAGACTGCTCTTCTTGGGGAAGCCCATACCTATTTGCTTTCCAAAGTCGGCACATCAAACCATAACACATTTCCTTAGATAGTTTTAAGCTAGAGTGGAACTCCCATATGGTTGTGGCCCTGACACAGCCCTTCCTTTTCCAGTTCCTTGCTCCTTACCCTCAATAAATTTAGAGATTAAAAAAAAAAAAGGCCACAGAAACTTAATCTGCTCAGTCTGTGAAATCAAATCAACATTTTGTATTGGGCAGTGGTGTTAAGAAAATCATTTGACACTTCTGACTTTTGTGGGGAATGACCTATCTTGCTTAGTAATAATTTGTGATAGGTGACTAAAGAGATCATAATTTGGTTTTAAGACAATCTGCAAAAATCTGCTAAAATAATTATAAACTGCTCATCCTAGCCTTATATACAAGGAAGGCCTCTTCAGAATAACTGAAGATGGTCAAGCAGATGCTTAAGCTTTCCTTGTTTCCTCTAAGCAGCGCTCTATTATGAATGCACATCTAAGCTCAGAAATCTTTCAACATAGGAAAGTCATAAATCCTTATTTCCCCATTTAGCTTCGCATGGTACACTGCAATAGAGAAAAGTGCTTAGTTTCCAGTTGGGTGTCTTTTTTACACAGGGAGTTGAAAAGAAAAATTCTGTCTGTAAGAAATTGCTCTACATAGGGAAACTTCAGAGACCAGGGAGTGCAACAATAGTTTAACTAAGCCTTCTTTTTCTTATGTTTGTTAGCTTTGTTACTAGTAACACTTTTCAGATTGAATCATGTTATTCAAACAAAAAAAAAGGGGGTTATAAACAAAAAAAACCAAAAAACAAAAAAAAAAAGGGGGTTATCTTTTGTAGCTTTTTGCTTAAAAAGTTACAAAAGATCAGGCTGTATAATCTTCTATTTCTAGTCAACACTGCCATCAATTCAGAAAGAATTAAACAGAGGGAACAACAATTTATAGAAGTTCCAATAATTCCCACTGGTAACAAACTGAGATGCTGCTTGGTAGACTTACTGCAAAAAATTTCAGGTTGGGCAGTTGCAGTAAAATCATGACTAAACATTTGCCAAATCCACCCTCCCTCACCTACCTACTGTCATCATTACCTCCCCCAACAATTACTCAAATAAAACCAGAGATGAGTCAAACTCAAATATAAAGTATAGGAGCTAATAAATAAACCAACCAAGGCTTGGGGGCTTTAGGCACAGGCAGAGATACTCGCTAATTTTTTTTTTCCAGTAAGGAGCAGATGTGCTCTTGTCAACCAGCTATGTAAGAGCCGATGACAAGGACATTTGGAAACTGCTTAGAGCAGCAAATCACGGAGCAAGAGTCATATCAGTACTAAACCATGTAGCAGTTTACAACTAACCACACCCTCCTCTGTCCTGGAAAGGCATTTTATAGTTTCTTGCATAAGTTACCAAAAATTAAAGTCTCATGTTTGGCAAATTATATATAAATCATGCTCTTCCTCTTCTACGAGTAAGTTCAACTTTCATATATTATAAACTCTAGTCTATTACCCCTATTTGGAATGTTATTTGATGAACAAAGTGGGGTGGTTATTATGAATGATTTGAAAAATGCAACATTAAGCAGTTTTAAACACTTTCCTTCAGTTAAGATTTATCAGACTATTTTTGAGACAGAGTCTTGCTATATAGCCTAGGCTGGCCTTGAGCTTGCATCCTCCTACCTCAGCCTCCTAACTCCTGGAATTACAGATGTGCACCACCATGCCAGATGTTTTTTCTTTCCATTCGTTTTTGGTTCTAGGGTTTGAGCCCAGGGCTTTGCACATGGTAAACATGAATTCCACCACTGACATTCACCCCCATCCCATCAGACCCTTTAATATGGTAATGTATATCATTCTAAGTCTCCAAGATGTTAGGAGAATCAAATATTTAGTATATGCAAAAAGTGTTTGTTCATGGAATGCTTTCCATGGAACATCTGGGATAAGTTTCATGGAACACACTGGGAAATGCTAGTTTAGGTGTATGTTGGTTTTTATAGGCTAGTTTGCTACTTGACTTTATAATAGTGATTCTATGAAAAAATCATGCTCTGAGTGTGAAACAGTATGCTTAGAACATTGTGGAATACAACCAAATCATACATTTAGACATCGGTAGCCAACAAGTATGTGATTTTAATAAATACCAGAAAACCCAAAGAAAATTTCAATTTTTCAGATTAAAATAAAACCCAGAAAGTGAAAACACCTGAAAAATGTTTCTCCTAATGCACATAATATTTATCAATCCAAATAAATTCATTTGTAAGGTACAATTTCTAAAGTGAATTTTCTACATCTAAAACAGCACAGATTACATAAAGTCCTGAGTTCAAACCCCCAATCCCCTTCCCTCCCCATCCAAAAAAAGAAAAAACCTGTCTGTTGGGCAGCAGTGGCTCATGTCTATAATTCACTCCTTGGGAAGCTGAGATCAGGAGGACTGTTTAAGGACAGCCCTGGCAAACAGCTCGAGATACCCCCATCTCCAAAATAAACAAGAGCAAAAATGGACTGGAGGTGTGGCTCAAAAGGTAGAGTGCCTGATTTACAAGCTTGAAGCAGAGTTCAAGCCCCAGTTCCAAAAAAAAAAAAAGCTGGGCACTGGTGGCTCATGCCTGTAATCTTAGCTACTCAGGAGGCAGAGATCAGGTCCACAGCAATACCACCCTGAACGTGCCCAATCTCATCTGATCTGGAAGCTAAGGAGGATCGGGCCTGGTTGGGAGAGGAGGCAGAGGTCAAGAGGATTGAGGTTTGAAGCCAGCCCAGGCAAAAATAGTTATCAAGACTCAACCTCGAAAAATCCCATCACAATAAACAAACAAACAAACAAACAAACAAATAATAAATAAGGGGGCTGATGGAGTGGCTCCAGGTGTAGGCCCTGAGTTCAAACCCCAATACTGCAAAAAAAAAAAAGACCATGAAATTCAGTTAGAATCCTACCATTTAGCAGGTTTGAGAAACTGAAACTGAATCATCTGGCCAAGCATTTTTCTCACCTATAAAGTAGAGAGATAATGTGTACTTCGTGTGGTGATTTAAAGGACTAGATATGAAGTACCTAGCACAATGCTGGGCAAGAACAAACAAGTTCTCAATAAATGGTATCTCTTATTATTTTGTCTTTAAAAAAAAAAAACAAAAAAAACCCTTTTTCTTTTTGAGACAGGATCTTGCTATGGTACCCAGGTTAGCCTAGAACTCATTATCCTCCTGCTTTGGCCTCTCAAGCAGCTGGCCTTATAGATAAGAACCACTTTGCACATCTCTTATTATTATTTATACTACAACTAATCAAACTACTCAGCCACAACATAGCCCAAGAAGAGCAGCCTCACTATCTAGACCACTTGGTAATGGACTATGATCTTGAGATAGCTGCTTGCAAAAATATAAAATTTACACACAGGCAAAAGTCATATCATACTTCATTGTAATATGTCTAATGTATAACGAAAAAGAGAAATATTTAAAAAATGAAAGTTTAGGGGAAAATAGCATTTTCCTTTAATCTTCATCAGTTACTTTTACTTTAACAATTCATTTATACCATTCTGTCTCAGACTTTAAAGAGTCATTTCTGTTGAATTTTAAACAAATGAATAAACAAAGGTATATTAAAGAGTTAAGCAGAAGAAGTAATATTAATTAAAAGAATGAAAGTAAGACCTACCTTGGCTAGAACTGAACATTCAGAGATAACTTGCTCCAAAGGAAAAATCTAATTTGAACCATAAAGTTTCGTGTGTGTGTGTGTGTGTGTGTGTGTGTGTGTACACATGATGGTGCTGGGGAACAAACCCTAGGCTTTGTGCATGCTAGGCAGGCATTTATCCCTGGGCTGTATCTCTAGGTCATAAAAGCTCATTTTTTGACTAGTCCAATACCATGTCAATTAGAACTCATGACTTGGTGAAAAAAAACACTTTTACTCAGTTGCATTTGACTACCTAAAATCCTATCAAGCATGCTATTTGGCATATCTTACTCCTCTAAAGAAATTAAGTACTTTCTAAAACCAGAAATTAGTATGCTTGTGATTTAAATTTCAATAAATAGTTTGCAAAAACCACAAAAATTATCAGTTGTTGAAGATCTTACCTTTTCTTCAGTGTACAGTAGGCTACTTCTACAAATAAAAAAGAGTATGTGGATACTTCCTAAGAACTTAAAAAAGAGAAAACCAAAAACAGAGATCTGGGTGCATGAACATATGTGTAGTTAAAATTATTCACATGGAGTTTGGTTAGATCCCATTTAAAAAAAAGAAAAAAAGACATTCAAATCTAACAGCAAAGAATCTTCCCACTTTTTATTTTGATATACCGATACTTCCATAAACTTGGAGTGGAAGATAAGTTGTTAAATAAAAGTCATTTCATATATATAATATACAGATATTATTTTAAAGATGTTCATATAATGAATTCTTTTGGTACTAACAAAAATTAAGATACAAATAACTGACTAGAAATAAAACCATCACTAAACCAAGATAGACAGGAACTGCACTTCATTTTGGGAAAAGAAAATCCAAATAATTCTTACTGCATTAGAAGAATAAAAGTACATTTGTCATAGTATACGTTATTATATTCCCTTAAAGTAGGGACTGTTTAAATTTTTTAAATTAAAAAAATGTTCAGGTTTAATTCTGTCTGTACATTCAGGAACAATCACTGGTTACATACAATTCTCTCATGCAAAAAAGCCTCAGTTAATTGATTTCTAAAGTCTAATTAAGTCAAATCAACCAATAGCAATTTATCAAGCAGAAAATCAGAGAGATATAGAAACTGAGCAGTTGAGTTGTATTTCCTGTCTACACTACTGCAATCTATCTTCTTCATGTAGGCAATGGTGGTCAAAAAATTTCAAATGACAGAATATGTGAGAGAAAGAAGAGTTCCTAATGCCATGACAACCTTTGCCATCTTTTAATACAGTCCATACACTTCTACATGTATGTGTGGAAAGGAGCAGGAAACAAAAGCAGTAGGTTAAGACAGATAAATAAAGAGAATGCTGAAATAGCTACATTAGAATTATATTTATTAAAAAACTGATCTGAAGTCTGCTCAGGACACCCAAACAAGCAAGCAGAGCAGACATTAGTGCAAATTTAACTTGATAATTTATGAAAAAAAAAAAAAAAGCTAGTTTTGATTAGAAAAATTTCAATTATTTCCTTGTAAACACAAAGAAAACTCAACAGGAATTTTAAAGGTCACAGAAAACGCAACAGTTGCTCTTACAATCCTTCTCGAGGCTTAATAGACAAATCAAGTTGAAGACAAGTGTTAAAATACCTTTCAGCCTGAAAATTTATGCACCTCTATATCCCGTTGTTCCAATTGGCTTCTGATTTAAAAAAAAAAAGACTCAACAAACTTTTTGTAAGAGGTACAGCTAGGAGTGATGAATATAAATTAATTCCCCTCCCCACAAAAAAGACATCATTTACCCTCTAAAGCATAAAAAGCTATATAATATCTCATACAAATTAACCAGTGTACTTAAAAAAGTAAAGCAGTTTTGGACTAATGACATTACACTGAATTTGTGGTGAAGTACGAGGCACAAGAATGTATGCACTAATTAGGCATTTCAGTCTAATCAATCTCTAGATTACCATTTAATTCTTGGCAATATATAATAATTGTTATGCATTTTGGTATGTAAGTCATGAATTGTATAGAACAAGAAGCAGTGTATTATAACAACAGGGTTTGTATTTGACAAAACAACTGCAATGGTGAACAAATTTCTTCTATGAACTTTGCGATTTGCTTTGCTGTTTGTCACTTGTAGTAGATCCTGCAAAGATAAAGAGGAAAAGTAAACATAATTTGCCTTATATTGATTGCTATAATGGTTTGAATATGAAATGTCCCCCTCAGGCTCATGTGTTGAAGGTTGATTACCCAACTTGTAGCACTATTTTGGGAGATTCTGGAAACTTTAGGAGGTGAGGCCTGGCTAGAAATAGGTCACTGGGGGTGTGTCCTTGGAGGCTGTATCTTAACCTGGCCCCTTCCTGTCTTCTCTTTGCTTCCCTGCTGCCATAAGGTTAAGTAGCTCTGATATTCTATGCTCTCTCTGCCATGATGCTGTGCCTCACCGCAGGTGCACAGCAATGGAACCAAACAAAACATGGACTGAAACCATAACCAAAATAAGTTCTTTATTTTAAATCGTTTTTCCAGGTATTTGTCACAATGACAAAAAACTAGCATAATTGTCAACCTGGAAGTAACTATCTGAATTTAGGCTCTCTTACATTGGTATGGCCAATAACTCTAATAAATAAATAAGATCAATTTCATGCAGGCTGAATTAAACTGTAATAAAAGAATCTGTATATACCCCTAAATGCTTTCTTTCTTTTTTTGGGGGGGGTATTGGGGGTCAAACTCAGGGCTTCACACTTGCTTGGCAGGTGCTCTACCACTTGAAGCACTCTGCCAGCCCTGCCCCTAAATATTCTAAGGAGTAGAACAGGACTAGTTATTTGTTAATAAGACAAATAGGTTTCGGAATGAATATTTCTGCAAGTAAATCACGGTGGAACCTTAAGAGTTTATTATAAATCAAATATCTGAAACTATAAAAATATTTACATTTCTTACCTGAAAACATAAAATATTACACCTGAATCTAAACACTTTTCTCTTTATGAAAACACCAATAAAACGGGTGGGATGGAAGAGAGAAGTGGGAAGAGAGGGAAAGGAGGACACTGCCAATGCACAGTAAAACTGGATTCTATAGAACCTAAAGATTATAAAAGCTTGTTAAAAAAAAACAACTAAGAGACTAAAAAGAGTAGAGAATAAATAAGAAACTTATTTCTCTAAGCCTTAACATGTAGTTTCCCAATTCTTATGGACTTTTGTGATGCAGGATATAATCCTATGAGAGGAATACTTTATTTCCACTGAAAAAAATCAGACACTGAACTAATACAAATTTTAATCATCATATTATGCTTAAATGGAAAATATATCCATGTATTAAATATGCAAAATTTAGTACCTTACAGACAGAGATGGGCAAAAGGCCAGAGTCATTTTTCCAAAGAGGAAGGATGGCAGGCAAGAAGGAAAAATACATCCTCTTATTGTTTGCCATAGTGGGAATGGATATAAATTTTCAGCAGCAAATGAGGGTTATTTCTAGTACCCCACTTCAGTCACTAAGAGTGGATCTTGAAAGTCTGAATTAGAAGTTGATGAACAGTTATAAAGAATCATTCACTTGAGGTCGGGTATGATAGTTCAAACCTATAATCTTGCTACAATGAGAGGCAGAGATTGGAGTATGGAGGTTCAAGGCCAGCCCAGGCACAAGTTCATGAGACCCCCCCGCCTCAACCAGTGCCTGGTGCAGTGGTATGTGTCTGTCATCCTAGCTATGCAGGGAAGCACAAACAGGAGGACCACAGTCCGGTCTGGCCTGGGCATAACATGAAACATTTCAAAAATGACCAATGCAAAAAGGGCTGGGGGCGTGTTTCAAATGGTAGAGTATCTGCCTAGCAAGCATGAGGTCCAGAGTTCAATTCCCAGTACTGCTGATACCCCTCAGAACCATACTCTTTAATACATCAAAAGAAACTATCAAGATACAGGTAAAAGGGAAACAAAGACTTCAGGGCAATTAAGGAATAGGTAACCTAAAAATGGGTAACAGATTTTTTTAGAGAGGTATGTAATAATCACTAGGTAAGATGAAGTTTGTTCAAGTTAAATATAAGCTAAATAGACTTTGGTATACACAATGGAAAAGAAATGCTGTATGAATCAGATTGAAAGGCTAAAGCATAATATGGAAAATATTTAACAAAAATACTGTAATTCTGACACTATAATGAGACAGTGACACATCAGGCTGTATCACAGACTTACTCATATTTCACACTGTGCTCACCAAAATAATAATAACTGTTTATGTTCTTAAGACTTAACCACATTAGACACCACAAACAAGTTATACCCTCTCCAAAAAGCATATATGTAAGTTCAAAAAGTGTAGGCAGTCAGCACAAAAAATTCTTCACTAGTGGTGCAAAAGATTCACCTTTGTCAAATACCAAAACAAAGCTGACCACAAAAAGACTGAGAGTGTGGCTCAGTGGAGTATACTTCCCTGCACGTACAAGGGCCTGGGTCTGATTCCCAGTATCTTAAAAAAAAAGAAAGAATACTTAAAAAATCCATTTTCTATGACTGGTAAGAAGGACAAGTTGTCTAAGCCTTAAAAAAATTGGAAAAAAAATCAAAGGTGTGGGGCATACCTATAATCCTAGCACTTAGAGACTGAGGCAAGGAGATCAAGAATTTGAGGCTACATAGTGATATTCTATCTCAATAAACAAAACAATCCCCAAAGGAATCAAGATTATTTGTCAATTCAATTATTTGTCAATCAAAATTATTTTTCAATTCTTAAAATGGCAAGATAATGACATACTTTTTGCACCTTAAAGGGATATCCAAACAATATTTCCAGGGTTATGGCACAGCTCAAGTGGTACAGTGCCTACCTTGTAAGCAAGAGGCCCTGAGTTCAAACCCCAGTACTGCCAAAAAAAAAAAATCCATACTAAAAACATTTCTTTTAAAAAGTTTTAATAGCATGTGTGAGGCCCTGGGTGTAAACTACAGCACCACCACAAAACAAACAAGTAAACAAAGTCAGGTAAAAATGTTTTAAGCTTTAATTTAGATTGTTATGTCAAATAAAATATGACTTAGCAGGGTATAGTGGCTCACACCTGTAATCCCAGCTACTTGAGAAGCAGAGATCAGAAGGATCATGGTTCAAGGCCAGCCTGGGCAAAAAGTTCTCAAGACCCCATCTCAACCACTAAAAGCTGGGCATGGTAGTGCAGTCCAGCCGGCCTTGGCATAAATGTAAGACCCTATCCCCAAAACACCTGAAGCAAAAAGAGCTGGGGGTATGACTCAAGTGGTAGAACGCCTGCTCAGCATGCATGAGTTCAAACCCCAATACTGCCCAACCCCCCCAAAAAGATCTGAAACACTCAAAAAAATATATACCTTAATATGAACACAAGTATCTTTGCCTAAGGCCAAGTAAGCCATAAGAAAAAACGGTCATATGATGTAACAACACTAAACATTAAATCAACTCTAGGCATGAAAAGGTTATTTTAAAATCAATCAAGGGAATTCAAATTTTAGAAATACTGGCATACCAAAGTGAATCAGCAAAATTTTCTGAGAGTTTTTTCACAAGTTTAAAGCAAAATAATGTTCATTATCATAGGCACAGAGAATCACAAGTCTCAGTGATTTTTTTTTAAACATCTGACCTTGATTTGACTCTTCAATATTCATGCTTTCTCCATCTGCAGACTCTAACATTTCTTCGTCTTCCTCGTCATCATGTAGGTCTTTTGAAATTAATTGTCTAGCTAATTTAATATTCAGTCCTTCATTGTAGTGAAGCTTCCTTTTCATTTCAAATTGTCGCTTTTTTTCTGTAAGATTTAAAAAAAAGCAAGGTTGGAAAATCTTGGCTCAAGGATTGCCCCATGCCTGTTTATACGTAAAGTTTTATTGGAACACATTTGGTTTGTCATGTTTAAGGCTGCTCTTTGTGCTTAAAGTAGAGTTTAGTAATTTGCAATAGAGAACATACAGTCCACAAAGTCAAAGATATTTAGTATTTAGTATCTGTGTACTTCACAAAAAAAACTTGCCATCTCTGCTTTAAGTTAAGTATATCCTAATGGAAGAACAGGAATAAGACACAGCTATTAGAAGTTTCACTCGTGAAGAAAAGTTAAAAATAAAGGAAAATTCTCCAGCAAGAGTTGAACTGGATATGTATATAATACATATACTATGTAAAAGTGTACAACTATACATTGGTGTAGCTCCCTTTGTATAGATGTATAATGTACAAAGCTTGCACACACATATACTGAAAAGACTTAACAATCAAAAGTGGTTAAATTATGTTTTAGTATTTTTATGTTTTCTGTTTTCTTAAGAAAAAATTCCTTTAAAGAATCCTTAAGAAACTTCCATGATTTTAGAATTTACCATACAAACAGAGCTAGCAGAAATTCAATATAACTGGTCACATTTTACTAACAGCACTTTAAAGAGCAATTTTATGAGGAAATAATTCTAAGATTTAAAATTTTCTTAGGTCACTAGATCAAAAAAACAATAAACAAAAAGGGGTCAGTATAAAATTGTCAACTCTTTATTTTGTCCAATGAAGAGGATTAATATTCATCACCATTGTTTTATGTTCATTTAACTATTTTAATCTCAAAAAGCATAGAGATAACACTCAGAACAGGATATTCAAAGTAATTTCTTAAGGGTCTTTATTTTCGTCATAAGTATTGATTACCATTTATACTTAAAAATGTTTTTTTAAAAAGTTCATGTCACTAGACATCAATCACTTTTCAGCCTCTATTTGGGTTGGGAGAGGGAAAGTTTTGAGGCTGATATCCATATCATACCCTGTAATTTGTTTCAAATTACGAACATCTTGCCAGACATTTCTATTCTGCTCTATTTACAAATTACTTCTGTGATTCATTTTGCTCTTTAAGGGTGCCATATTGTAGAGAAATAAAACTAAACCAATAAAAAGACAAAATCCTCACGACTAAATTTTCATTTTTGAGATGGGGTCTTGCTATGTTGCTCAGGCTGGTCTTGAACTCCTGGGCTTAAGCGATCCTCCTGCCTCAACCTCATGAGTTGCTGGAACATGTGTCACCACACCCAGCTATGACTAAATGTTTATTGACACATCTTTCAAATATTCAGATGATGTAAAAGCAAAATATACAAAAAATAATGGTTCTAATCACCTCCATTACCATAATTTAGTAAAAAGAGTAATGAAGTAACAACACATTCAAAGTAGAAATTTAAAAAGTCACTCTTAATTTCCTTACTCAGAAATAGGGGCTGGGAATGTCGCTCAGTGGTAGAGTGCTTGCCTAGCATGCACAAAGCTCCAGGCCTAATCCTCAGCACCGCAACAACACAAGCATCCAGAAATTACCACTAATATTTTATATCTCTGGAATTTTTTCCTTGTGGTGCTGGGAACTGAACCCAGGGCCTATGCATGCTAGACAAGAGCTCTTACCACTGAGCTGCATCTCCACCCTTTTTCTTCCTCTCTCCTTCCCCGACCCTCTCTCTAGCTCTCTTTTTTTTTTTTTTTTTGAGTTAGGGTCAAGTTAGCCTGGACCTAGAAATCTTTCTGCCTCAGCCTCCTGAGTGCTAGGATTACAGAAGTGCACCACACCTGGCTTATGATTTTTTTCTAAAAATACATTTTATAAAAAGGATTCATATATTAAGGTGTAAGCCGTTTTTTTCACTTATTATATTGTTAGGATAATAATATATCTCAGTTTACTCAGGGAAGTCTCAGATTATGGCTACAGTTTGACAGAACTGTAACAGTAATCCTGACCCTATTTAAACAGGCGTGTTGGCACACACCTATGATCCCAGCTACACAAGAGGCAGAGGTATGATGATAAGCAAAAGCACAAGACCCTATCTAAAAAAGAAACTAAAGGCAAAAAGGGCCGGGGGCATGGCTCAAGTGGCAGGCTGCATGCTTAGCAAGCGGGGGTCCTGAGTTCAAACTCCAGTACTACCAAAAAAAAAGAACCTGCTTTAAAAGTAAACAAATATATAGTAAACTAAACATTCTTCCTTGTATTCAGCAGATTTAAGTATAAATGGTATATTATACAAATATATATGCACATATAAAATGTCATAAAATATATATACACATACACATTTTTGCGCATTTGTTGTATTACTTCCTCAATATAAACCAGTGTTTTTCAAACTGTGCATAAGTCACAACCAATATTAACAAAGATGAAATAAGCAGCATTGACAATATAGTATGTCTCTTTTGTAAATTATATTTATATAATCTAGGAATGTTATTTCTTCCTAAGTTAAATAATTTAAAAATATGTTAAGTATTCATTTCATAGAAAGCTGCTAATATAAATGATCTCAACCTGGAGAATATCTTGATTATTTAAAATTATTAAAAGTTAACATTTATTGAGTGTGTATAACATGCCAGAATCAGTTCTAAGCAGCTTTAAAGGCTTTAATTTCATTTAATAGTCACCAGTTTTGTTTGCTTTTTTTTGAGATGGGTCTAGTTTACCCAGGTTGGTCTTGAACACATAAGTTTGAGAGACTGTTCTTGCCTCAGCCTTTCAAGCAGCTGGGACTAAAGATGTACACCACATCAACCAGCTCTAAAGTAAGTATTTTTATAGCTCCCCTCCCAGTTTAGAAATAAGAAGCAGAGGCTCAGAGAAAGTAAGCAAATCAGCCAAGTAGCACAAACCCAAGCACAAACCTCCCAGTTTAGAACAGAGGCTCAGAGAAAGTAAGCAAATCAGCCAAGTAGCACAAACTTGTCTGTCAGACTCCATAGTCAATAATCTTAGTTACTATGCTACAAATTACTAGATAATTTTTTCCTAAGACTATCTCCTATTGGGCTGGGAGAATGTCACTTGGGGACATGGCCCAAATGGTAGAATGCCTGCCTAGCAAGATTGAGGACCTGAGTTCAAACTTTGGTACAATTTTTAAAAATGAGTATCTACGTCAATAAATATTATGTTCCAAACATGTAACTGTACAAAGTGTAAAACAACTCATAATTTAGTAACTACAAGTGGGACCCAAATTAATGAATATTTGGTCTAAAAGCTCCCACTGCAGGTTGGCTCCTGGAACTACAACTTGAGGAACAATAATTCTTGGTGAGAACTGACGAATCCCTACTCTTAATCATGTTTTTGGAGAGTAATGAGGAAACAAACTCTAGAAAGAAAATTCTTTTTTTTTTCTTTTATTATTCATATGTGCATACAAGGCTTGGTTCATTTCTCCCCCCTGCTCCCACCCTCTCCCTTACCACCCCACGTCGCCCTCCCTCTCCCCCCCCCCCTCAATACCCAGCAGAAACTATTTGCCCTTATTTAATTTGTTGTAGAGAGAGTACAAGCAAATTAGAAAGAAAATTCTATGTGAAATCATTTTCAGGGACCTCTTTGGGTATATTTTGGAAAAATAAGTCAGGAAGTCAGTGTGAGTAGAAGAGATATAATACAACTTAAGAATGTGCTATATGTCAAATTTCTCTCTTGTATAGACATTAGGCTCAGACCAGTGTTTTACTGAATAGGTGGGCTATAGTCTGAAGACAGGAAAGAATACCAAATAGTTCAGTAGTTACATGTGACAAAGATCCTGAAAGCTCACTAGCAAATACTCAGAGGTTTAGTTATAACATCCCCAAACTTCTGTAGGCAATTCCCACATTAAAAGCTTCAAGCATTTTTGTGTGCATTTTTCTTGCATTGTTTTTCCACAAAGGCTTGTTTTTTCCTTTCTGTCGTTGTCGCCTTCTTTTTTGAGGTGTCTGTGATCACACCCAGGGCTTTATGCATGCTATAAAGTGGTCACTCTACCACTGAGCTACATCCTCGGCCCTTGGTTTTTTCATTTAAAAGAGAATGGAAAACTATACAGAGTTATACCTCAGTATCTGAGCAGAATTGGTTCCAGGACCCCACAGACACCAAAACCTACAGACGCTCAAGTCCATTATACACAATGGTATAGTATTTGCATGTAACCTTCACACACGGTTTACACTTTAGATCATCTCTATGATATATCTTATACCTATTACAATGTAAATAACTGCTATCCAGTATTTTTTAGGGAAAAATGACAAGGAGAAAAAAATCTGTAAATGTTCAGGACAGGCTCATTTTTTATGAAATAATTTTGAACCATAGTTGGATGAATACTCAGATGTGAAACCTGCACATATAGAGGTTCAACTAACTATATACAATTTTTAACTTTTTTTTTTTTTGGTGGAACTACAGTTTGAACTCAAGTTATGCTACCACTTGAGCCACACTTCTAGCCCTAATTCTTGAGAAATTACACATTCACATGGTTCAAAAGTATAAAAAGCAAAAAAAGTAAAATACATTTCTTCTCTCCCCATCTCCAAAGATAACCATGGCTACTTTTAAAATAAAACAGAAACCACGAGTTGGTAATAATGTCTACTGAACCTGAATTGTATGGACTAGGAAAGTCTCTTTCATCCCTGTTAAAGAGGACTGTCTCCATCTCCTTTTCTGTGACACTATTGCTCTTTTTGTTCCATGGAACCTATAAAGTTTCTCGCTCTAAATTTGACCATCTTGTTTCATTTGACAAATTGCAGCACTATGTTAAAACAGAAAAAGCACAAGCAACAAAGAAATTAGCTCTTCCATTTATCAACTTTAGGACCACTCAAAAACTCAAAGATTAAAAACATTGTATCTGACCATCTTGTTTCATTTGACAAATTGCACCACTATGTTAAAACAGAAAAAGCACAAGCAACAAAGAAATTAGCTCTTATATTTATCAACTTTAGGACCACTCAAAAACTCAAAGATTAAAAACATTATTTTTTCTTTTCTGGGTGGCAATGGGGTTTGAACTCTGGGCCTCACGCTTGCTAGGCAGGCACTCTTATCAGTTGAGCCAGGGTTTTTTTGTTGTTGTTGAGATAGCGTTTCATGAACTATTTGCCTGGGGCTAGCTTCAAACTGCAATTCTCCTGATCTCTGCCTCCTGAGTAGCTAGGATTACAAGTGTGAGCCACCGTGCCTGGCTTAATTTAAGTATTTATTGAGTGCCTACTCTATATCAGGCACTAAGAAAGGCATGTTCATAATTTAATGATGGCAATATTGCTCCCAAATTCTTAAAATCAGGGGGAAAATACTGTAATGCAATAAACTCACACAAGTATAATCTGAATTTTAAAGTGTTGCTTTCTATTTTCCTATGCTTCACTTTCCAACAGTGAAAACCATTTTCTAATCTTCCAAATAATGGACTTATTTTAGCAAAAATTATTAACATTATGTAGTAAAAGAAATAAACCACCTTGCTCTTCAGGTGAGAGGTCATTATCCTCCTCTTCACTGCTTTCTTGTTCTCGAATTCGATACTTTGGCTCAGAGCCTTCAGCAGCAGCTAATCTATATAACAATCATTTATAAAGAAATTAACACTGTGACATTCTTGTATTATTTAAGGTCCTGTTCAACTTTTGAGTACCACAAAAACATTTAAAGATCATTAATATACTAGCTATAACCTAATGATGAAAATAAAAAACAAGAGTGGGAATGAGTATAGAAACCAACAAGAACAGTGGAATGGGTTCTAGAAACCAATCCACAGCAAAAGAAGAAAGCTTTTGTCTCATGAATTAGCTTATTTTTGCTTTCATCACTTTCATCTTTAAAATGCAGGTAGCAGGATACTTAAACACAATACACAAAATTAAGACAGATCTCAGTATCTCATTTTTAGGTACACTAATTTTCCTGCTACCAGGAAACAGGGTATACTGTTTTTAATCAAGAAATAAAAATGTAACAGTTGAAAAATCCAGATGGGAGATGAGGATATTGCTCAGTGGCAGAGCAGGTGATTAGCACACCAAGACACTGGGTTCAATCCCTAGCATCCCATACCCCACCGAAAAACCCCAGATAAAACTCAGTCTTTTTTTACTCTTGTAGAAGTAAGACAATGTAAATGTCTTTAACTTTACACAATGAAAAACTGCGTAAGTGAAAATGCTTTAGTACTTACTTCTTAGCTAAGATACCTGGAGTCATGGCTTCAGTGGCTTCTGAATCACTGTATGCATCTTCATCATCACCTATCATACTAGGATGACACACACACATTTTAATACATGAAATATTATTTTCAACCACAAAAACAATCCTTTTAAAAAATTATGGACTCAAAACTCCAAAAAAATCACAATGTAATTATCTGAACTACATTATATAATCTCAAAAATAAAGACATGAAACAACAGTAACAATATCTGTCTTTTAGTGGGTTAGAAAAACAGTTATCAACCATGCAGTTACTTTTTTCTGAAAAGAAAACTTCTGATTTCTATTTGAGAAACAAACAAACCCAAATCTAATTTTCCTTTCAAAAAAGGCAAAGCTCACTACTTTTCATGTCTGACTAGCAGCTAACAATCACTGGGGAACAACAAATGTTTATTTCTATGGTTATAATGTAGAAAATGCTTTCCACAATTCAAGTTACATAATATTTACACTAATTAATAAAAATCATATAGTTACGTTATTAACTAGTACTCTATAACAAATATAAAACAAATTCAAATCAGCTGCTATCTAGAACCTGTATCAATGCAAAATGCAAACAAGTCACAAAAGCAAGGTCTATGTAGCATTACCTATGGTAAGGAGTGCTTGGTTCATCTATTTTCATTAAACCATAATCTTTGTCTGCTGGATGATATGTTGCCAGGATGTTCATCTCATCCCACTTCTGGGATTTTTTACTAAAATTTAAAAGAAAAGAACACTTAGTGACCATATATTAAAAATGAAGTTTCAGAATCAGGCACTTGAAACACTACTGTACTATGACATGGCATTTTTACACCTGGCCCATAGAACTAATTAACAATTAAAATAGAAATTGATACCACTATACAATCTCAGGAATTAAGTTCTAGGCTACATATAGTAAAAAAACTTTCAAAAAGCAAAACAAAGGCTGGGGCCACAGCTCAAGTGGTGGAGCACCTACCTTGCAAGTGTGAGGCCCTGAGTTCAAACCCCAGTACTACCAAAAAATAAAAATAACAAAACAAAACAGAAACATAACAGGAAGTGATGGTGCACACCTATAATCCCAGCACTTGGAAAGTCAAGGCAGGAGAATCAAAAGTCTGAGGCCCTCCTGGGCCACATAGTGACACCCCATCTCAAAAACAAAGCAACAATAAAAATAACTGTAATATTTCCCTGACATAATGTCTTCAGGAATATCCATAAGAACAAGAATATTATAAAACTACAGAGAAAACCTTATTAAATTCTAATACTACTAAAGTACTAAGTTAGCATGGTAGTACATGCCTGAAATCTTAGTGCTCAGGTAGCTGAGGTAGGAGGACTGTGAGTTTGAGACTAGCCTGGGCTACACAGAGTTCCAGGGTAGACTAGGCTACAAAGTGAGACCCTGTCTCAAAAAAAAAAAAAAAAAAAAATCCTACATAAAATTCACCACTTTAACCAGTTGTAAGTGTAGAGCCCTGTGGCACTGTTGTGTGCTCATTCCTACTATCTATTTTCATCTTATTCTTCTGTAACTCTGTACCTATTAAACAGTAATTCCCCACCTTCCTTTTCCCCAGCCTCAGCAACCATCATTTTATTTGCTGTTTCTATGAATGTGACTACTCTAAGGACCTCATATAAGTGAAATCACACATTATTTGTCTTTTTGTAACTGATGTATGCCCTTCAGCACAATGTCTTAAAGGTTTAGCCATGTTATAGCAAGTATCAGAATTTCATATTTTAAAGTTAACACTCTAACAGAAAAACTAAGTGCTTCTGACTAACCTTCTTTTCAAGTCTATTTTTATCTTTCATTTTCTCAACAGGTAAAGACTGGCACAGATATTGCACAGATGACTGAGTCTACGACACTCACTTTTCTCCAAAAGCACATTACTGGAAATTGCCTAAAGTCTCTTCATGAAACGGTCAAAATTTTAAACATTTGTAAGAAGCTAAAATTTAAGATACATAGGCCATTATTTTTAAGTACAGAAACAGCATTTCAAATGCTGTTATTCATTAAGCATGAAACTCATGTGTTATTCACCTGAATTTTCAACTAATCAAATTGAAATATCACTGATATTCCATGAGTCACTTGATTGAACCAGACACTGATTTCTTTAAATGCCTAGGCCTCTATCACAATAACAGTTGGTCTTATGGCAGAAAACAAACAAAAACCAAAAAATTAGGAGACAATGTTTAAAGTTTAAGTTTCAGTTATTCTTCACTAGTCCTGCCACCGTAGGCAAGCCCAATAAACATTCTCTCCTTGGGGTATATTTAGTCTACATGAACGTTACATAAAAGGGAATTTCAGTAACAGTCCTTATGATTTAGAGTTGTTGAGAAAATCAACTGAAATGTCTGTGAAACCAAGTTGTAAAAGTACCATATAACTGCAAAGCATTTTTATGATTTGAAAATCTAAAATTTAGGGCTAGTGGAATGGCTCAAGTGGTAGAGCGCCTGCCTAGCCAGTGTGAGGCCGAGTTCAAACCCCAGTACCACTAAAAACATTTAAAAAATAAATAAAAAATAAAATAAAATCTAAACTCTTGGGTTAAGAGTACTGAAACAGGATCTCACTTAGAATAGTATAGAATGGGTTGAGAAAGGTCATCCTAAAAGTTTCAACTGCCTTTGCACTGAATTCCTTCCATGTTTGCCCCACAAGACTCAAAATTTAAATGATTTTGAAATATTTAAATCTGCTACAGAACGAACAAGTATTTTTTAAAAAGCAATCAGTTTTCTATTTCTGACTACAGTTTCAGTACTTTTATTTTGCTAAATAGCTCTACCATCTATAAACTTCTGTAAACTTAAAAAGCAAATAATTCAGTCTACTCATGTCCATATTCTAGGGAAACTCAATAGTGAAAAGAGATATACTTCTAAAGATCTGAGATAGAAAAAATGATTAAGGAGCTTGTGATTAGTAGGATAATGAAAAAAATAGATGTAAATTTTAAGAGAAGTAGATTTTGTGAATCCAGTTAACAGAGAGACTCATAATACCATAGTTAAATGTTCCCTCCTGGTAAGATTCCCTAATAAAGATACTGTAAAAGAAAACTAGCAGGCAAGCAAAACCAGCATGCAGGGATGTGCACTTAGGTTAATTACCACTGGAAAAAAGAAGACCGTGACTGAAAAGACAAGGGACATTTCTGAGGTGATGGAAACATTTTTTAACCAAGATGGTATATATACGGGTGTTTGCTTTACAATAATGCCTTAAGTTTTAAATTTACTTTTTAATATTTTTCTGGATGTGTGTACAATATTTTTAAATAAACACATACTAATACTAATGACCTTGTTGAGTGCTCCCTAATCTCAAAGTAAAACAAGTTACTCCTAAATGAGTTAACAATACTAAATTAAAAACAGAAAGTTATTATTACTGCATGGATAGAAAAAGAAATGAAGGTAGACCTTTGGAGTTTAAAGCTTATCACTAATGCAAGGAAGAGATACCAACACCCTTTAAATCTGTTTTGCAAGATAATGACGACAGAAAAAAGAAAAAAAGAAAGAAAGAAATATAGGACATGTGCCAAAATTGTGTTTTCTTAAAATTAACAATAGAATTCCTCTAATTCTGCAGGGGCTCTACTCTCCCACTTTATACTTTTCTATCTCAATAAACTCTCCTGCAAAAAAAGAAAAAGAAAATTTAATCATAAACCCAGCACCCCTACACTTTTCTGAGAAGACTTACAGGCTTCTCCGTGGGTACACAAAGTTTTCAATCAGTCCCTATGTTTCCTGACCCTTTAAAAATGAGGTAAAGCCAGTGAATCTGGGCAAGTAGTCTTTTTCAAAACCTATGAGACAAAATCTAGAATTCACTTACTTTACAAAAATTTATCTGTAATGTAAAAATTAACATTGGAGGTGCTTTAGGTTAGGCTACTTAGAACACATAAGCAGAGAAGGAAAAAATTTTAGTTGCCTACTGCACACATTCTCAGCTGAAGCCAAACAAAGCAATTCCCTCCTTCCTCCCTCCCTCCCTACGAAGTACTGGGGATCAAACCCAGGACCTTACACAAACTAGGCAAGTATTCTACAACTGAGCCAACAAGTGTGCTTTTCAAGGCATATTTAGTGCCATGATGTTTCACATTTTTTTGGCAAATGGCTCTCAAGTGTAAAGATGCCGTCCAGTGTTTCTAAGTGTAATAATGCTGTGATGTGACTTCTATTAGATCAGTTTCATTTACCCATAAATGCTTTTGGCTATGAGTTCAATGCTAATCAATCAACAATATATGTTAAATAAGGCATCTTTACAAAGAAACAAGCAGAAAACAAGGCGATGTACTGATTAGTTGATGAAAGGTGACCAGAGGCTTCAAGGAACCTAATCTCTTATTTACCCTAAGAGCAAGGTTCAGTACTTACAATTTAGTGTCTGTGGGACTTTATAGAACACAATTACTGTAAGTAATGACAATCAACTTAGATACCTTGCTATTTGCACATTAATGAGATTCATTTGCCTTCTGCTCTTCTAACATTTCAAGTTAGACCACCACTCTACATTTCAAGTTTCTGAATTTTAAGTATGCTGTAATTATAAGAGCTATTTACTCTTTTCAGTCTTTTTTATATGGGAAGGGGATACTGATTTTAATTAAACGTTACAAAGTTTGCTTCACAACTAAGAGATGGCATAGATAAATGGGACTTCATAAAACTAAAAAGCTTCTGCTCATCAAAAGAAATGGTCTCTAAACTGAAAAGAACATCCACAGAGTGGGAGAAAATATTTGCCAGCTACACATCGGACAAAGGACTGATAAGCAGAATATATAGGGAACTTAAAAAACTAAACTCTCCCAAAACTAATGAACCAATAAAGAAATGGGCAAGTGAACTAAACAGAACTTTCTCAAAAGAAGAAATTCAAATGGCCAAAAAAACACATGAAAAAATGCTCACCATCCCTAGCAATAAAGGAAATGCAAATTAAAACCACGCTAAGATTCCATCTCACCCCTGTTAGAATAGCCATCATTAGCAACACCACCAACAAGAAGTGTTGGTGAGGATGCAGGGAAAAAGGAACCCTCTTACACTGTTGGTGGGAATGTAAACTAGTACAACCACTCTGGAAAAAAATTTGGAGGCTACTTAAAAAGCTAGACATTGATCTACCATTTGATCCAGCAATACCACTCTTGGGGATATACCCAAAAGACTGTGACACAGGTTACTCCAGAGGCACCTGCACACCCATGTTTATTGCAGCACTATTCACAATAGCCAAGTTATGGAAACAGCCAAGATGCCCCACCACTGACAAATGGATTAAGAAAATGTGGTATCTATACACAATGGAATTTTATGCAGCCATGAAGAAGAACGAAATGTTATCATTTGCTGGTAAATGGATGGAATTGGAGAACATCATTCTGAGTGAGGTTAGCCTGGCCCAAAAGACCAAAAATCGTATGTTCTCCCTCATATGTGAACATTAGATCAAGGGCAAACACAACAATGGGATTGGACTTTGAGCACATAATAAAAGGGAGAGCACACAAGGGAGATATGAGGATAGGTAAGACACCTAAAAAATTAGCTAGCGTTTGTTGCCCTTAACGCAGAGAAACTAAAGCAGATACCTTAAAAGCAACTGAGGCCAATAGGAAAAGGGGACCAGGAACTAGAGAAAAGGTGAGATCAAAAAGAATTAACCTAGAAGGTAACACACACGCACAGGAAATTAATGTGAGTCAACTCCCTGTATAGCCATCCTTATCTCAACCAGCAAAAACCCTTGTTCCTTCCTATTATGGCTTATACTCTCTCTACAACAAAATTAGAAATAAGGGCAAAATAGTTTCTGCTGGGTATTGAGGGGGTGGGGGGGAGAGGGAGGGAGCGGAGTGGGTGGTAAGGGAGGGGGTGGGGGCAGGGGGGAGAAATGACCCAAGCCTTGTATGCACATATGAATAATAAAAAAAAAAAGTTTGCTTCAAATGCATTCAACTATACTTTACTGTTCATGTTTAAAGAGACTCTCATAAAGTTATTAATATTGCTTACTTGAACTGTGACATAAATAATAATGTATACTGTATTAGTAGTATAATAGCTTCTTTGCTTTACAGTTTTGTAACACTGAGAATGGCTATAACCCTCTAACTAGTCAGGTCAATCACTCATCTACCTTCAAAAATCTCTCTTAAGTGAATCTGCCCTGCCCTGCAGGTAGAAGCAACCTACCTAGTTGAGTAAGCCTAGTACAGTGGCTTTCAAAGCAGAAAGACCTGGATGTAAACCACAGGCAATTACAGAGCAGATGGGGGCTAACCCACATTACAGCATGGGGACATGAGTTACAGCAGATCTAAGCTGAGAATAAGGAGAAATTAAGGAAGCAGAAAAAGAGAAAAAGAAGATACTTGGTCCTTGGACAGAAAAAAGCTCACAATGGAGAATAATATAAAAGCCAGTGAGAGCCATCTTCCTGCTGCTGAATATTTCGAAGCTGCATTAGAGCCTTCTTTTTTTTTTTTAATCTTGATCTTCTTGCTATAATTGTGTTTTGATGATATTCTGTTTTCTTAATCCCATGACCTACACCCATGGTGCCCCTCAAATTCCCCATTTAAAGCAGCTTCTGCCAAATAGAGGTTAGAAAAACTGCATATGAGAAAACGTAAGATTCAAGCATCTAAAGGCCATGATTTTAAGTTGCACTCCTATTTGATATTTTCTTCAAGATAACACAGTCCCCATAAATTTGTCATCACCAAGTAGCAGTTCATTTTATGGTACTAAATTAGATTCTCTATACGGGAATGCCCTGGAACTCATATTCTAAGTTTTCATGAATATACTCATCTTAGCTTCATCACTACAAATTTCAGTAACTTTTTAGCCTTATTTCCAAAATGCAGAGTCCTTAAGTTTTTAGTTATAATATCTAAGCCCCCTTGCACTTCTAATCCAGTGGTATATTTCACAATATTAGACACTACACTGCAACGTTCTTTTCATTGAGCATTGCACCTTGGATATTTTTCTCTGTGCACAAAATGCCTATCTCATTCATTTTCAAAGGCTGGTATATTGTTACATTACACAAATGTACCATAATTAATATTTCACTAGCTCTTCCTAATGGACCTTGGACTGTTTCCAGTTATTTACTATTACACACGATGCTTCGGGTCAACACCCCCTCAAGCCGCTCTTCTCTAAACTGTCCTGAGTTTAGATACGTCTGAGCGGGACCAAAACGCAGAACGCGCCCCCAAAACTAAGCCATAAATAACGTTCCCTTAAAGACAAATCAAGGACTTGGACAATTCTAGTCTCGCTAGGTGCGGAGACGATGGCAAAGGAGGAACTAAGCGCATGAGTGTAGTAAGATGCTTAAGGGGGAAGCGGTCTTTTTTGAGAGATGTCTTGTTAGTATTAGACTGAGCCTAGATCGTAAAGGGTTCCTAAGGCTAGAAAACGCTTTTAATTACTGAACAATTTTAGATACCTGGGTATAGGTTAAGGAATAATAAACGCTTAACCCTTTACGCTTTCGAACGTCCAATTGATTCCTTAATGCTCCCAATTACAGAAAGTTCAAAGACGATGTCTGTTTTTAAAATGCTACATTTGCACATATACTTTAAAAATAACAGGCGATAAACGTCACCGAGCCCCTCTCATTAGGAATCACTCCACCTTGCGCGGGCCAGAGGAGCGGAGCCAGGCGGCGCCCCGGCCGCGTCTACGCAGCCGCTGGGTCCGGATCCGGAACGGCCGGGAAGGAGGGGTTTCCCGGGCCGGCCCTCCCGGCTCTCACCTCAGTTCCTCCTCGACGTTCTGGCGGGGCTGTTCGGCCGAGGCCACCACCGAGGAAGTCGTGGAGGTCTTGTTCTTCAAGATTCCCTTGATGGGCCGGTGCGAAGCAGTCGAGGCCGCCATTGCCGGTCTCTTCAGCTGACGGCTCAGGGTCGTTGCCGGCGAGGAGTCCGGGAACACCGGGTCGCGCGCTACAGAGACCCGGCAAGCAGCTGCGGAGCCCGCTGGGGACTAAAGCGGCCGCTCCGGTTGTCGTAGAAACTACTATCGGCGTGGCTGTCACGACAAAACCACCGCGACGCCACAGCCAACGCCGCGCGGCTGGCGGCCTTTCGCCGCCGGCACTTCAGCCGCGACCCGCAGACTGAGGCCAACCCAGTGCCCCAGCGCGGGAGCGACGCAGACGCCGAAGCCAAGCCGGACCCGCCCTCTCGCGATATTTACGGCGAGGCGGGGCGAGAACAAAAGCCAGCCTCCTCTCTCCACCCCTTCCAGCCCTTGCTCTCTACTCGCCCCGCCCACCCCGCCCCTCCCTCCCTCCCTAATGGCTCCTCCCTCCGCCCCCTGGTGGCTCCGCCCCCTCCAGACTTCATTTTCCGCTCTCTCCGCCCCCGGCGGCGCTCGCAGCAAAGGAACTATTTTTCCCTAGGGAGAGAACCCACTTGGTTTCTAGACGTGCACATCTCTCAAGCGCCCTCTCTCCCAACACCTTATGAGGCTGTATTGTTATTTCTGTTGAATGTCAGAAAACTGAGGCTCAGAGGTGGCCTCATCGCCACAGATAGATGATATCTTATTTTGAAAGAAACCATATGTCTCTTCTACTTAACCCGCGTAAAAAACTTAACCCCTATTATAAAATTAAGGAATATTAGCATTGGAATGATCCTTGCAGATCTCTTAGGAGATTACACAATGGTGACTTTTATTAACTCGTAGAATGCCCGCGTTGGTTTTTACAGTCTTAACCTCTTTGTACCATTGGAGAAGCTGATGACAGAGAGGGCAAGTGACCACCACTGTCACGTAGACCATCCATAGAATGCGAAGATAGACAAAAACATGATGGGCCACGGAGGGTCTGAGTGATGCCTCTACAAGTCAAGGGGCAGCTGGGATGGCAGAAGCCAGAGGAACAGCTTGCTACAAATTCTCCCTCAGAGCCCCCCAGGGTCAACCCTGCTGCCCTATTGATTTTGGACTTCAAATTCGCAGTTCGTTTTTGTTATTTAAAGCCACCTAGTTGTGGCACTTTGTTGTGACAACCCTTATCTCCCTCCCTGCCAGTTCCTACCTCCAGTCCCCAACTGATTGCGATTGACGCCCTGTCCTGATCAGGCCTCTTCATCATCCTTATGACTAGCCAGAACAGACTAACTGAGCCACCCCAAATGGGTGCCTCTAGCAAACCCACCTGGTGACTCAAAGACTGCTAGGTCTGGAAGGGACCTTGACAAGCAGTCCTGTGAGGTGGCTATGCTAGCCTGTCTCTAAAAGCCCAAGGGCCCAGGACCTCACCCCCCAAGCCCTACCCCACGCAACTCATTTTACTTTTGAACAGCTTTGTCTCAGGAAGCTCCTTAGATTGAGTCAAACCTAATTCCCAGCAGCACCTGCTGTCCCTCTGTTGATGGGGGAGCAGTTTTCATTTTAAACAGTCATCTTCCTCAAATCTCTTATCTCTGGGCCCCAAGTCTCATCTCCCTCAGTGCCTTAAGGACAATGCTCAGCTTGTGTCCTTATGCTTCTGTTCCCCAGCAGCAACTTCAGGGGTCCTGAAAACTATTCTGTTTTGATTTTCCAGCCTGACCCTGGCTGAGTCCTGCTGTGTAGGGCCTCAGTAAAGGAAGGAATGCTGATGGAGATAACGGAGGGGAAGTGGGCAGGAAGGCAGAAGGGAAGCAGCTTTGTTAGTACTGGAGCTGAATATTTTCCCCAGGGATTTCTCCCAGGTGAGGCCTCCATAGCAGGCATTGGCCCTGACCCCACCTCAGTTCCCAGTCAAGTGTCCCCCACTGCCTTCCCTTCCTCCCAGACTAGGACAATCCATTGGATCTAGTATTACAATCTGACAGCTCTGTCTGGACCAGCATCAAGAGTGAGTTCTCAGTGGCCAAAACCCAGCTGGGCTCCCAGAACCTGTATGGCCTCTCTTACTTGCCCAGTCAGCAGGAGCCTTGCTCAGCGGTAGCAATCCTGCTTGCAAGATAATCCACAAAACTTGTCTTCATGACTGTAATTATTGGGCAATTTACTTTGTTCCTGCTTGAGCCTGGCACTCATCACTCTGAACCTAACACTGGGTCCATAATTAAGCAATGCCTTGCTTGGAGACCCTTTAATGAAAAGGGCTACCACAGTGTGACATAATGTGTTTTTATTACAGTTAATAAACTAAAAGACATTGGACCAGAAGTGGTGGAGAGTTCTCTGAGAAATCTCTTCCTTCCCTTATATTTGTCAAAGTTAAATTTTTGTCTCATACTATTTCTTTCACTCAGATTCCATAAAAAGTGAATGCAGATGAACAAGTTAACAATTGAAAACCATAAAATAGTTTGGCTGAAAGATCGCAAGTACAGCAAAATATATATACATGTGCATAATATACATACACATAATATTTATCTTTTTCTTTTTCTTTTTTGTGCAGTACCTGGGGTTTGAACTCAAGGCCTCACATTTGCTAGGTAGGCACTCTACTACTTGAGCCACTCTGCCAGCCCTCTTCCTTATATTTTAGAATAGTTAAACCACTTTATTCCTCAGTGTGTCACAAAAAATTTTACAAAAGCCTCTAACACAGAGCTCTCCTTCATTGCCTTTGCTGAAGCTTGATCTTGGAGATGGTCATCTGGACCAAAAAGCTTAAGCACCAAATTTGGCTGTATTTATATGCCATTTCCTGTGTGACTGCCAAGAGCTTGATTATGAATGGAATCCTCCATTCTGGATTCAGTTTCTGGAAGTAGCTTTTGAGCTCAAGGCAAATCATATACAGTATTTTAAACAAATACATGAAACAGGATTGTCTGGCAATTGTTTCATCATGGTTACCTGATCCATGCAGCATATCTGGAGGAGAAGAGGAGACATATTTAGTGTACCCTGAATGTGACTGAGCCAGTTGACTCTCTGTCTCTTGGAATAGCCTACTAAGCTGATTGGTGGGATTCCCATCAACAGTAGAATTCCAAAACGAGAAATGGCTTTGGTGGCCATTTCCACCCAGCTGCCTAAATCATCAACCACAGGTCCTTCAGTAGGGAAGTGGATAGTCCCCCCACCCAAACCTCTGGAAAAATAATCAAAGATTGTGATTTAATGACCACTGAGTCACCAGGGCTTTTTGTTTGCCAGGAACTAGCATGATGTTAGCACATTGTTCTTTTCCTTTTCAGGTAATCCATCCCCCAACAGGAAGATCACAGATTTTGCAGTATATTATAGAAATTCACAGTGGCAAGGGCAAGATTAAGCAAAATACAAAAAGTATTAGAGACAGAGAGCAAAAGAGAGTATACCAAGGACAAAGATTAATCATTTTTGCTTAAAAAATAGCTTTGATTTCCAACCATGAAACTTCCCACTGTTTCTCTTCAAAGATATCACCATGAAAGCCTCCAAGTGGCCAAGACACTTTTCTAAGAAGGCTCACATGTCCTCCTTGGTTACACAAAGTTTTAATCTGTCCCTATATGGTTCCTGCCCCTTAAATCCAGGGGATCTGCACAAGTAGTCTTTTTCAAAACCTATGAGACCAAACCTGGAAAGAAAAAAGAAAGCAAGATAAGTTGTGTGATAAGACTAGGATGGTAAGTAGGAAATGTGAACTATTATTTTGGCTAAACTTGTGCCTGACAGAAATCTTTCTCTTTTTTTACTGTAAAATTTTCCATAAGTGTTAACTGGTTTAGTTTGTAACCTATCGTAAGAAGTAAGCAAGCAATGCCATATATTGTAATTTCATTATGTCAATTTGGGCAGGTTCTATTGCACTTTATTATTCTATGAACCCATAATGGGATAAGAATAGACTGATTCAGAATACAGGGCCTGAGGATGGAACTAACAGTGGAGCATGTGCCTGGCATGTACTAGGTCCTGGGTTCAGTTTCCAGAAACCTCCACACACACAACAGAATTAATACCAACACCTTCTCAAAGGGAAGGAACATTGCCACAATTATTTATGCAGCCAGTATTACACTTATTCCCAAGCCAGATAAGGACACAACAGAGAGAGAGAGAGAGAGAGAGAGAGAGAGAGAGAGAGAGAGAGAGAATTATAGGCTAATCTCTTTAATGAACTTAGATGCAAAAATTCTCAATAAAATTCTGGCAAACCGAATTCAATAACATATCAAAAAGATCATATACCATCATCAAGTCAGTTTCATTCCAGGGAGGGAGGGATGGTTCAACATACACAAATCATTAAATGTAATACAGCATATTAACAGAAGCAAAGACAAAAATCACATGATCATCTCAATAGATGCAGAAAAAGCCTTCAACAAAATTCAACATCCGTTCATGATAAAAGATCTGATGAAACTAGGAATGGAAGGAATGCACTGCAACATAATAAAGGCTATATATAACAAGCCTATAACCAACACCATGCTAAATGGGGAAAAACTGAAACCATTTCCTCTAAAGTCAGGGATGAGACAAAGGTGTCCACTTACTCCACTCTTATTTAATATTGTCTTAGAATTCCTAGCCAGAGCAATAAGACAGGAAGAAGAAATAAAAGAATTTAAATAGGAAAGGAAGAAGTCAAACTATCCCTGTTTGCAGATGACATGATCATATACCTAAAAGACCTGGAAAACACCAAAAAACCCTTAGACATCATAAGTAACTTCAGCAAAACAGCAGGATACAAAATCAATTTAGAAAAATCAGTAGTCTTTCTATATACTAACAATGAACAGACTGAGAAAGAATTTAGCAAAACAATTCCATTTACAATAGCCTCAAAAAATACATAGGAGTAAACTTAACAAAGTGAAAGACCTCTACATGAAAACTCTAAGCCATTGAAGGAAGAAATAGAAGAAGACTTCAGAAAATGGAAAGACCTTCCATACTCACGGATTGGTAGAATCAATATTGTGAAAATGTATATATTACCAAAAGCAGTCTACATGTTCAATGCAATCCCCATCAAAATTCCAATGACATTCATCACAGAGATTGAAAAATCCACCCTAAAGTTCATTTGGAAACACAAAAGACCATGAATAGCCAAGATAATACTGAGCAAAAAGAACAATGTTAGAGGTATCACAATACCTGACTTCAAACTATATTACAGAGCCACAAGAGTGAAAGCAGCATGATATTGGCACCATGACAATATGAAAACCAATGCAACAGCATAGAAGACCCAGA